GACCTCCAGCAGGCCACAAATGTGCATGTGTCTGCTCAAACGGTCAGAAACAGATGGTGGTATGAGGGCCCGACGTCCCAGCCCAACACCGTGCAGGACGTTTGGCATTTGCCAGAGAACACCAAGATTGGCAAATTCGCCACTGGCGCCCTGTGCTCTTCACAGATGAAAGCAGGTTCACACTGAGCACATGTGACAGACGTGACAGAGTCTGGAGACGCCGTGGAGAACGTTCTACTGCCGTCAACATCTTCCAGCATGACCGGTTTGGCGGTGGGTCAGTAATGGTGTGGGGTGGCATTCCTTTGGGGGGCCGCACAGCCCTCCATGTGCTCGCCAGAGGTAGCCTGACTGCCATTAGGTACCGAGATGAGATCCTCAGACCCCTTGTGAGACCATATGCTGGTGCGGTTGGCCCTGGGTTCCTCCTAATGCAAGACAATGCTAGACCTCATGTGGCTGGAGTGTGTTAGCAGTTCCTGCAAGAGGAAGGCATTGATGCTATGGACTGGCCCGCCCGTTCCCCAGACCTGAATCCAATTGAGCACATCTGGGACATCACGTCTCGCTCCATCCACCAACGCCACGTTGCACCACAGACTGTCCAGGGGTTGGCGGATGCTTTAGTCCATGTCTGGGAGGAGCTCCCTCAGGAGACCATCCGCCACCTCATCAGGAGCAAGCCCAGGCGTTGTAGGGAGGTCATACAGGCACATGGAGGCCACACACACTACTGAGCCTCATTTTGACTTGTTTTAAGGACATTACATCAAAGTTGGATCGGCCTGTAGTGTGGTTTTCCACTTTGATTTTGAGTGTGACTCCAAATCCAGACCTCCATGGGTTGATAAATTTGATTTCTATTGAAAATTTTTGTGTGATTTTGTTGTCAGCACATTCAACTATGTAAAGAAAGGAGTATTTAATGAGATTATTTCATTCATTCAGATCTAGGATGTGTTATTTTAGTGTTCCCTTTACTTTTTTGAGCAGTGTAGTAATCTCTTAAGGATTAGGACAACTGCACCAACTCCAGCACCCAGAACAAACTCATTTAAAATGTCTCTCTTCAATGTGAGGTCACTTTCAAGTAAGACTTTTATCTTAAATGATTTTATCTTGTCTGCAAATCTAGATTTTATGTTTTTAACTGAATCATGGTTGCAAATGAATGACTATAGCCAGCTAGCTGAACTGTGTCCACCTCAATATGATTGTTTTAGTCAACCGAGGGTCAGTGGTCGTGGTGGTGGGCTAGTGAGCGTGTATAAGAAAAATTTAAAATGTCATCAAGTATGCTGTGATGAATTTAACTCCTTTTGAAGTTCTCACTCTTAAAGTTGGAGGGCTGCAACCTATCATATTTGTTATAATTTATCGCCCCCCAAAACCACCTGGAGGATTTTTATCAGAACTTCCTGAATTTTTATCTACTCTGGTTTTAAATTTTCAACAGAATTGTTCTTTGTGGCGATTTTAATATTCATGTTGATGACCCCACCAATGTTAATGCAACTGACTTTTAACTTCAAACAACATGTCAAAGGGCAAACACATAACCGTGGTCATACACTGGACTTGGTTTTTACCCTGGGTGTCAGCATTTCCTCTGCGGAATTAGTGGACATGACCATATCTGACCACAGATGTATGGTTTTTAGCTGCGATTCGCCTGTTACTCATGCCGCCTCACCAAGCTCCGTGTGTTCTCGCTTTTTAATGAACAAAGTGTTTCAAAGTTTTGCACATTCTTTCAGAGCCAAAGCCAACACCTGTCTGATTCCAACACCAACAATCTGGTCGATCACTTCACTTCATATCTGCTTGTCATCACTAAATATTACTGCTCCTTTAAAGGTTAGGCCTTCGTCTAAAGCTAGTAAGCAATCCTGGATAAATGACAGCATTTGCAGCCTAAAAGGGAACGCAGGAAAGCAGAGCGCAGATGGAAAAAATCCAGTCTCCAAGTCCATTACCTCAGTCTGAAGGATTTATTAATTAACTACAATAACATGGTTAAGGATGCGAGAACACACTATTTTTCTGAACTCATTACTACACATAAACACAATCCCAGGTTTCTGTTTAAGACTGTGGATCAGCTGGTAAACCCAACCCCTCCTTGTGCCTCAGCTGGAAGTAATGATGACTGTGAATTGTTTTTATCTTATTTTACCAATAAGGTGGTGTCAATCAGAGCCTCTACCCCCCACGGCCTCTTACTCAGAGGTTCCTCACCAGCAACAAGAGAGTTTTAACCAGTTTTATCCCATCGACTTGTCTGAGCTTTTAAAAACAGTATCACAAATGAGAGTGTCCTCCAGCCCACTTGAGGTAATACCTACAAAGTTTTTACTGAAAGTAATAGATTCTGTTGGGCCCCATTTGATCTCTGTTTTCAACAGCTCCCTATCTACTGGTTGTGTCCCTGATTATTTTAAAACGGCTTGTGTGAACCCACTTTTAAGGAAACCTGGTTTAGATCCCTCCCTCCCACATAATTTTAGACCAATTTCAAAACTGCCTTTTATTGCAAAGATTCTAGAAATAATTGTGTCCAAACAGCTGCTCACTGTACTGGAAAATAACAAATTATTTGAAAAAATTCAATCTGGTTTCAGGAAGTACCACAGCACTGACACTGCCCTGCTTAAAGTCACCAATGACCTTTTAATGTCTGCTGATGAAGGCATGTGCTCAGTCCTGGTACTCCTGGGCCTTAGCGCTGCTTTTGACACCATGGACACCACAACATCATGTTAGACAGACTGAGGCACTGGGTGGGGATCTCTGGTACTGCCTTAGAATGGTTTTCATCCTACCTGTCAAATAGGAAGTTTTGCGTGTCTGTAAACAACTATGTCTCTTCGTTCTGTCCAGTTAAATATGGTGTGCCTCAGGGGTTGGTCTTAGGACCCATTTTGTTTTCCTTGTATCTGCTTCCCCTCGGACAAATTATCCATAAACATGGCATTTCTTTTCATATTTATGCTGATGACACACAAATATACTTGCCCGTCAGATCCACAGACCCTGAAATGCTGAGTTCACTTAACAACTGCCTTTGTGAAGTTAAAAAATGGATGTCAAATCATTTACCCCAGCTGAACTCAGACAAAACAGAAATCCTGGTCATTGGGTCCCAGCAGATGGCAAAACAAATACTGCCATCTGCTGGTTCCCTAGTAAATCACATTAAGCCTGTGGCAAAGAACCTTGGTGTTTGGTTTGATAGTAATTTAAATTTCGAGCAGCACACCACAAAGCTTGTTCAATCATGTTTTTATCAACTTAGAAATATAGCAAAAATTCGATCTATGTTAACTTTTAAGGACACAGACCATTTTACACACCTTCATCTCATCACGGCTGGATTATAACAGCCTTTTCAACCGTTTAACCCAAAAATCTATTGATCGACTCCAGACTGTCCAGAACTCAGCTGCCAGGCTTTTAACCAAAACAAAGAAATATAACCACATTACTCCTATTTTAGCTTCATTACACTGGCTCCCAGTATGTTTTAGAATTGACTTTAAAATTCTATTGATCACTTTTAAAGCTCTTCATGGCCTCTCGCCTTGTTATATTTCTGAACTTTTAGTCCCATACACACCGGCATGTACCTTGAGATCTTTGGGCAGAGGTCTGCTGTCTGTTCCAGAGTCTCGACTGAAAACTAAAGGGGACAGAGCGTTTGCTGTCAGGGCCCCGAGGCTCTGGAACAGCCTGCCCGAGGAAATCAGGTCAGCTGAGTCAGTGAACTCTTTTAAGTCCCTTCTTAAAACCTACTTTTATAGGAGAGCCTTTCCCGATCTTATTTGACTTTATTTTATCCCTTTTATTTTATTCTATTTTACTAATTTTATATTTATCTTAAACGTGTTTTTTAGTCTTGTGAATGGCGGTGACGAGAGCTTTGTTAAAAATTACTGAAAAACCTCCTACTTGCATGAAATACAAAAGATACTTTGTAATTTATGTTTTCTTAAGTGTTTCTGGTTAGAATATAATGTTTTTTATTGGTAATTGTCATTCCTATGACAGTTTACTATTGAAACCATGAGTGAAGGGACTGTTTTATTTAATAGCCTTGTCACCGGACAAATGGATAACCTACTGCATACAACTCTTACGGTTGATTGTTTAGCTGATCTGTTAGCAAATAATCGTTGTAATGCTAGCAAACTTGTGCCGTTGTCAAACACTCTGGGCCTCTATTTACTACTCATGACAACAACAGCAATGGATGATGATCACAGGTAAAGTTACTCCACCTTTACCAGCACAGAAGTACTTTAAAATTGATTTTATAATCATGATAATATCCAAATGGACTGCTGCATTCAGTTCATCAGAAGGACGTCATTTCTGAAAGCAACATGTTCAGTCTCAGTTTAAGTCAGGAGTCAGTCATCTCTGCTTGGTGCAGATTTATGTTACTCCTGAGGAGCTTTAACCTCCACTACATCCCTGGTTAGCAGGATGAAGGCGCCCTCTTGTGTTGTGCATCAGTTTTCACATTTCAATTGTGAATCTGTTGTGATGTTCACTGCAGGAAGACAAGTAAAAACTACTGAGCCTTTGGCAGTTTCAAACAAACATCAAGCATCAGTAAAGAGAGATTTAAACAAGTGTAGTCCTATGTTAAAATATGGTAACATATAAAACAAAATAAAACAATATAGTTATTTATATACATATATACATACATGTATGGACCAAAACATTCTGCAGTGCATTTTTTGAATTTGCATCTGGGGTGAATGTAAACAGCAGCTACCAGATGATAACATGATTTCATCTTCACAGTCCGACACCCGGGAAACCACCTCCTCTTATTATTATTATATTATAGGAGATCATAGAATAGTCTAAATGTGTGTGCTTCAGTTAAAGAGATCCAGCAATTTGGGTAATATAATATATAATTTTTATATTTTTAATAAATCACTAAAATCCGTTTGTTTGACAACATTTAGATTTAACTGTAGGTAACCATAGCAACAGCAGCTGCACCTGCACTTCAGACCATTTCTCTCTGGTTGTAAAACTGAATATAGCTCAACACTTTAACACTAAACTGAACTCACTCTCAAGAAAAGAAAAATGGAACAAGTGGCTGACCAATGGACAGTTTGGTTTCGGGTAAGTAAAACTATATAATACTGCACTTTCAGAGTTATCCTGACATGAAATAAGTTAGTGTTAGCTAAGTTAGTTAGCCTAATTGACTCAGAGCTGAGCAAACTGGGAAACCTGCCATGTCATTAGCATTCATAAAGTTGTTTATAATTGTTGTTGTTAAATAATTTCAGAATTTGCACATTTCCACAGCACTTTGTGTTTATTATTTTCAGACACTGAGGTTGCATACTTTGGAAAAACACTGAGTTGTTCTTTTGTCTGTTGATGCAGTTTTGATGCTGTATCAGCTGCTGTTACCAAGGCACACTGACATAGCATTTCACTTTAAAGGTTCAGTGTGTAAGATTTAGTGACATCTAGTGGTGAGATTGCGAATTGCACCCAACTGTCTTGTCTACTGCTCCCCCTCCTCCCCTTTCAAGGAGTTTAGGAAAGCTACGGTGGCTGACACAGGAAAAAAGGTGTCGTCTTCTGACACAACAAAGAGTAATCAGTCAAGATATGTGGTTTCTTTAGGTAGATTAGAAGATAAAACCATGCTATCATCTGGTTGTTTACATTCACCCCAGATGCAAATTCAAAAAATGCCCTGCGGAATGTTCTTGGTGTATACCTGTATGTATAATTGTAGGCTATATAAATAACTGTATATATTTTATTTTATATGTTACCACATTTTAATCATAGACTCTATATGAAAATATTTTAATATACACTTAATTATATGTTGTGAGTGTAGCATGAAGGAACTACAGAATTTATTTCGATGTGCAGCCTTGTGCTTTATAATGAAAAATAAACAGCCCTGTACTTTGTGCCTTGATTTATTAAGAAATGACTTAATTATTCAGTAAAATCACATGTTATTGTGACTTGGCCACTGACAGATAACATGGAAAATGTTAGCCAAGAGTGTGAAACACCGTCACTGTTTCTGCACCACAGTCCATTCTAAACCACATATTGAATGAAGTTTATACAAACACTGACAATGGAAACATGTTAATTCTCTCTAGCAATGGATCTTATTGCATTTGTGTCACTAGATCCTCAGAAATATTACACACTGAACCTTTAATAAGGTCAAAGGACTGAGAAAGAAAACCTGGTGCTGTCTGGAGACGCTTTTAACTTAACAGATAGTGAGTCAGATTCCAAAGTTACACAGAACAGCAGATTATGATTTACATGTTCAGAAAATCTGCAATATATAATTCAGAAACTGTTTGATCATTTTTTATTCAACTGTAGGTAACCATGGCAACAGCACCTGCACTTCAGGCCATTTCTCTCTAGGTTGTAAACATGAACCTAGCTCAACAACAACGCTAAGTTAAACTCACATTCAAAGAAGCTTTTATCATTTGCTAAAGCCTAAAGCATGCTGGGAGATGTGGTTGGAAGCAATAATAAGTGAGTGAATTGTGAAGAGCAGTTGTAGCTGTGTTTTCTAATCACTTGGATGAGCTGCGAGTCCTGACCTCTGCGTTGTTTGTGATGTGGCAAATTAAGTAAAAAGCTTTGGCTGACGTAGCTTGAACTATCGTTAAAGTGGCCGAAGCTGTTGATGGCAGTCAGCAAGGTCTTTCTTCTGGATTTTCCACTGTGGTTACAAACTTCATGAAAGCAATGAAAACCCACTGACAGATGGGTGATGAAACACTGATCAGGGGACCAGAAATTGTCCAGTTTCAAGCAGCCATGATCAATATAGTGTGGAAAGTTGTTTCACTGGGACAATTTAAACACTTTTTCTCTGAAACATAATATAATATAATATCATATCATATCCTGACAGTTTTACTTTATAATTTCTATTATAATAATTTCAGTAAGATGTGTCACTGTTGTGTCATTTCTCTTCTTTTTGAAGTACAAGAAAAGGTTGTCCATTGTCATCACATATTCAGTCTATTCCCTCCAAGTCAACCAGGCATCTTCAGAGCCCTTCTTAGGTTAAGACTTCATTAACCAGCCACCTTGTTGCATGCCAACACCTGTTTATGAAGTAGCTACATTGTTTTTGGATGGATTAGTGCTCATTAATGTTTCCCTCTCACAACTTTTCAAATGTAATAGCTTCTCCTCCTGTCTCCTAAACATGCTTAAGGCTATTATGTGCCAAGTGCTCGGCCCCAGTTGGAGAGCTACAGTCTCAATATGTGCCAAATGGACCCCACCTCATCAGTAATATAGCAATTCAATTCTGCAATTGGATTTTCTCAAAAAAGCAGGTTTTTAAAGATTTGAAGGGATGAAGTCAAGCCAAGGCCAAGTCATGTATGAAATTATCAGGCGTCATTGTTGGTAATAAGTTTCCCCTCACTGACCACAGTCCTATCTCTGTCATTTTGCATTGTTAATCCATGGGCATTTAAAATATCTGCCTCTCTTTATAGGAAGCTGTCAGGATTAGATAACTAGCAGCATCTGTTTTATTTGAGTTGCCCACTCTACTGAATCATCTGCTGTCAGAACACAAGAGATTTTGTCTCTCTGCAAAATCTTGGCACTGCCATGATTTATTTTCACAGCACCCTATCTGGTTATCAGGTTATTCATTCATGCAGCTTCTCTAATGTGCTTTGTGTGTTTATGTAGATTCATTAGTGTAAGCTTGATATGAAAGAGAATGTTTGTGTGTGTGTATTTGTGTGTGTGTGTGTGTGTATAAAAAAGATATGTGTTTGTGTTTTTTTCCAAGATATTGTTGCACTTACACTTACTCTACCTGTTCACTTACAGAGCTTTATTGAAAAGCCTCTGAGACTGGAGGTGGCAGCAGCGCCGAAGTCGCGCTTCATTCTGCTCCACTACAGTGTGCCGAAAGCCCTGTAGGACTGGCTAATTATTTTTGGCACTTTCTACCTGGCTGTCACCGTGCCCTACAACGTCAGTTTCACGGCCGCCGATCACACCGCTATAGATGCACCCTTGACTGTCATCGCAGACGTTGTAGTGGAATTGCTCTTTATTGCAGGTGAGTGTTGAAAGGTGTTACTGTGAAAGACATGGCCTCCTGATTTTACCTAAAGTTCTTGTGCTGTAGCACAACTAATTACTGATCTGAATTATAATAATATTGTGGTGATTTCAAAAAGGTTTGTATGTGGTGACATGAGATTTTCATCCTATATCTATTGATTTTCTTGCCATTCCTTGCCAGCTATAGTAACAGGACAATCATAGCAACCCAGGCATCAAGTCATTTCTTGTCATTTATGTTGTAATTATTTTAAGCTGACATTAACATGACTAAAGCTGGTACACTACCCTGTTGCTATTCCATGTTATTCTTTCATATTTTCAGTGTGAATGACAAACATCATCACATACAAGTGACCCAGTAGGATTGAATCTGAGCTTGGGACACTTGTCATTTATCCTCACTGTTTACAATCTGTTTCATTGTATTTGTCTTTTAATCCCGGGGGGGGGGGGAAACTTACCTTTAACATCTGTATTTCCAGACATTGTGTTGAACTTCAGCACCACCTATGTGGACAAGTCAGGGAAGGTGGTGTATGACCCGCGCTCCATTTGCATTCACTACGTCACCACCTGGTTCTTTGTGGACCTGGTTGCAGCCCTGCCCATTGACCTGCTGTATGCTGCGCACATCCCAGTGGTGAGTACAACTAGATGATAATATGTTGTCACTGCCCTCTGCAACAGCTGATGACTTATAATACATAGCAACTTCCAGACTCCAGAAATGTATAGCGGGTGAGAGTACGTACCTTGTATTACACAGAGCTGCTGCTGCCTGTCTGTGTGACAAGTACTCCCAAAATTGTGATTTGTTTGAACAAAACAAGTGGCTGCTGTGAAGTATATACAGTCAAAGTGTGTTTCAAAACAGGGCAGAGGGATTTGCTTTCTTTCTCCTTTTCTCACTATGCCCCCCATGCTTGCCTCTCCTCTTCAGAGCTCCTTCGTCCACCTGCTCAAGACTATACGCCTGCTGCATTTCCTTCGCCTGTTTCAGAAACTGGAACGCTACAGTCAGTACAATAGTACTATGCAGACTTGATTCAGTTACCATACGTGAAAAATCCAACAAATAACACCACAGACTAGATTCAACCAATACAGCGAGGAGACATTTATTGTGTCCCCCCTCATGAGATGGTGGCAAACACCATACTCTGGCACTTGAATGAGGAGTGTCTTAAATATATATATATATGTATAAGATGGCTGCAAGAAAACAACACAAAATGTCTTGTTTGTGTGTTAAAACATGGAGTACAATAAAAACCCAAAATGAAACATCTGCAGCCTGTCGCAGCAGCTGTATGTAAGTTCAAACTTAACCTAGTTAGAACATAAATTAATATGAAGTTGTGATTTATGCATTACTAGAAGAAAAGTGGTTGCACCACAGAGATAAGTTACAACATAATTCTATGTAGCAACTAAATAGTTACACAGGCCCCAACGTAGGAGTAAACCATAAAATGTCACAGAATTAAACTCACTAATGGTAAACAGCCATTTTTCTGCTCCAAGTTACAAACTAATTAGCAGTTACTAAGCATCTAGTGTCAACTTCATGTCCTAACTTAGGAGAGAACTTACACACAGCTGGTGCAGCCCATTTCTGGTCCAGTCGCCTATGCAACGTGTGTGTTTGTGTGTGTGTGATTGTATACTTTTGTGTCAGTATATTATATGTGTCTATAGGGAGGTTAGATCATAACTTCATAATAATTAACACTCCTGACACAGCTGAAAATCTCTTTCTGACACACACAAACAAACAGAACCATTATTGTCTCATCCTTTACCTCCTCCTTCAAGGGTGGCTCTTTCAACTGAGCAAACAGCGGGATATGCCCTTCTTCAACAGCACGGCGGGGGGCCCGTCGATGTACAGCTCCTACGTCGCTGCCCTTCATTTTTCCCTCAGCAGCCTGACCAGTTTGGGCTTTGGCAATATCAGTGCCAACACCCCTGCTGAGAAGATCTTCTGCATCTGCACCATGCTTGTTGGCGGTATGTCTGACACCAGGGTACACTGTCCCTCTGGCGTAACAGGGCCTCTGTTCAGCACGCCAGTGCAGGAAATTCAGCAGGAAGTGGGTTGGATGGTCTTTAAGATTCAGTTTGTTGCCGGCTTTACGTACCAATAAACTAAAGTATTTTAGCTGAGGAGGCAATTATTAGTGCAACAACACAGAGGATAATTACTGTGTTCATTTTTATTCATGTCAGAACAAAGATGTAAATTACTGTTGCCCCTGTGTGGATCATTAAGTAAGTAAACAGTAACATGTCTAGATAATTGGGTAGTGATCAATATAAAACTATATTTTATTTTAAAGCAGAAAGAGTTTGAAAGTAAAGAAAAGTCATTTTTCTCTCGTTGCCAGTATAAACTGTAATAACCTAAAAACATGTTTCCCAAACTTAGGGTTAGGACCCAAAATGAGTAAAATGCATAACAATGTTGCAACATGTAAATACAGGTATGTGAATAAGCATTCTTCTTTGCTGCTCTGGTCTGTTCAGCTCAGATGCTGAGTGAGGTTTTCTCTCTCACCTCTCCCTAACCTGATCTGCTGTCCACATTCATACAGAATCTCTATGTGCGTAGTCTGTAATCTGTCACTGTCGATCCTATGATGTCCAAACAAAAGTACAAGGACGAGTTTATTAAAGTTGGCTTTACCAAAGCCATTCAGAAGGGAGAGGAGATGCCTCAGTGTGTAAAATGTGGGGAAGTGCTCAGTAATGAAAGTTTTAAAACAAATAAATTGCACAGGCAAATGTCCCAAACGAAACATTTGCAGTATTGGGGAAAGTTCAGACATTTTTCCCTGCCCTTCAAGATGTGTTGATTCAATTAGGCAACACATACTTATGTGAATCTGGCATTTTGACTTCAGCATCCCTTGACAAACAAATACAGGAACAAACTAAATGCTCGGCATGACCTCAGAACAACACTTTGGAAAACCGAGCCCAGAGTATAGACCAGCTGGCTGAAAACTTCAACCGGCCACTTACTTTCAGGTCGGCATCATTTAAAAAGACATGTCGGTGCTGAGGGATGATGGGAGTTGAGAAAGGGGTGAGACACAGAAAGGAAAACTGTTGTTTTTCTTTACTTTTATGATGAAATAAATACATTTTATATGCATTTTTAATTCATGGTTTTTCCTTTATCCGTTGTTTATAAACGTAGCTGTTACAGCAATTCATACAGCAGTATTTTTGTAAATTTTGGTCCCAGGGAGACACCAGATTTCTCTTTTGGGTCTTGAGCTGAAAACGTTTGGGAACCAGTGGCCTAAAATAAACAGCATTCAGAATAAAACTTTATCTAGAAATATAAATATTCAGCCTTTATAGCAACATTTATTGTCTTTTATGCTGTTTGTTTCCTTCTCTCACACAGCGCTGATGAACACCCTGGTGTTCAGTAACGTGACCACCGTCATCCAGCGTATGTACTCACGCCGTTCTCTCTACGACACAAGCATGGAGGACCTGAAGGACTTCATCCGTCTCCACCATCTGCCTGAGCAGCTCGAAAATCGCATGCTGGAGTACTTCCAGAACACATGGTCTGTCAACAGTGGCATAGATGTCAATGAGGTAGGAATCCCTTTCATTGTTGTTGACATGTCATGCTTTTGTACATTGTGCTGTCTGCCCTAAAGAAACTTCAGGGCAATGTTTAGATGACACATGATGATTACATTTGAGCACTGACAGCCGTTGTACAGTCCATGATCAATATATGCTGCTGTAACTGTCAATGATCTTTCACAGCACGTGGCCAGTTGACATCCTATTGAAATTTAAAAAGGGTAACTGGAGTCCATTCCTTAATTATCAATCAATGTCACAGCTCATTACATCTGTCACACATCCCCAGCTCCTGCACGACTTCCCTGATGAGCTGCGGGCCGACATCGCCATGCATCGGAATAGGGACATCCTCCAGCTGCCGGTCTTTGCGGGGGCCAGTCGTGGCTGCCAGCGCTCACTCTCCCTCCATATAAAATCCTCCTTCTGCATCCCCGGGGAGTACCTCATCCGTCAGGGCGACGTGCTGCATGCCAACTACTATGTCTGCTCCGGGTCTCTGGAGGTGCTGAACGACACCACAGTGCTGGCAACATTAGGTTTGTCTTGTGGTCAAGTGACTTTTAACCTTTTAAACCTCATGTTTAAGGTGTTTATGTGGTACACCATGGAGAAAGAAATTGTGTTATTGTTTTGATTTTAGGAGAAGGGAACCTGTTTGGGGCTGACCTGCCTGGACCAGACCAGGTGATCAAGACCAATGCTGATGTGAAAGTGCTGACACACACTCACCTTCAGTATATCAATCTGCGTCACCTGAAAGAGGTGCTGGGACTCTGCCCCGAGTATGCCAGTGTTTTCGTCTCAGGCATCCGCAACAACCTCACCTACAACCTGTGTGAGGGCAGCCAGGACCAGGTACTAAATATACTCTCACACACAGAAAACTGGTGTTGATTTACTGTAGGATTCCATTTCTCCCAACAGTAAACCTGTGACAGAAAACTCTTTCCCCTGATTCCTAACTCGCAACACTTTCATTCAGTATGCTTCAACCTGAGCCGACCAACCCACAAACCTTCATCCAGTGTTTTCCTACATGTGTAGTAACCAGTCACACCCAAACCCAACAGGAAGTCAGCCATTTTGAATTGAATATGAAATCCTTCACCATTTATTTAAAGCTAATTGCTTAATGCTGTGGTAATTTGCAAAGCTTTCGAGGTTTTGTCAAACGCCGTTGCCGTGGCCATGTGTCGATTTCTGGAAACTCTCAAATGCCGAGGGTCAGTCTCTCCTTCATTAATTTGTGCTGCGCGTCGTGTACATAAAAGTTCAAGACAAGTACAAGACATTAAAGTTCAAGGTAGCTGGCGTGTTCGTGAGACGAGCATGTCCGCACCCCCCATTGAAAATGAATTCCTGTGTGAAAAGGCCCTAATGCTGCACATTATATTTGCTGTTTCCAGGATACCAGGCGCCCCTCTATTTTGAAACACAAGGGGACTCTGATAACTCCGTCCACCTCACTCCAGCAACCCGCTCTCGTCGCCCTCTCCAGCTACACAGCTTCAGCAGCCCCGTTCGCCGTATCTCCCAGGGGAACCTCCTGGGGATTGAGTTGCAGCAGTTCAGCGCCCTGCGAGGCTGCTGTTTACCAAACCTCAGCGGTGGCCTCCGCGGGCAGAACTTATCTCCTACAGCCACACAAGCCTCAGCCTCAGGTGAGGGAGAGTCCGGGGCTCAGCAAAATTCAGGTCTTCTTAAAGAGAACATCTATTTGGTGTTGACAGCACTGTTTGATTCAGTCTGTACTTTGTGGTGGTGCTATATTACATTTCAGTATATTAACCAGTGTTTCTAATAATTCCCCCCCCTCAGTTACACCCTCTGTAGTTTATGATACAGTACATTGGCTCAGTCTCAACAGCAAACAGAAGAAACAGACTTTTTTTAAATGGTTGTGTTGGATTGCATTACAGTGTAAAGTTTTTTTATATTTATTCTCTGTGCATCTCATTACTTTTTGCAACAATTACTTTTATTTTATTAGTAATTACCATCATATAATCTGCAACATTCTAAGTGTTATGAGTAGCATGGTAGTGTCTTTCCTTCCTCTTAAATGCTGTGGTCCCCCCCCCAAACAACCCCCTTCTACTTCATATCTTTCTTTCTGGATACCCAGTTTCAACCTGATAAACATCTTATTTGGTTTTATATTAACCCCAGCTTCCTTCCTCTTCACACCTCACACAGGGTTGTAGACGTCGAAGTGCATGGAGACATGTTCCATTTGTACGCAGAGCACACCGAGCCTAGAGCCAGTACAGGGGGCAGCACCCAAGGTAAGCCAAACTGCCACCAGCTGCCACTGCAGAGGAGATTTTAACATGCTTTGGTTCTCTTTTGGGAAGTAATCAGAAAATGATATGTGGACATGAGTCTCAGATTAAACTTTAAAGACAGAAGCTGATTCATTTGTCTAATCTCTGTGCGGGGATTTAAATTGGGCAGAATAGAGCAAGCTGTACTGTAATTGACCACATTTTCTCCTAATAGTACGACTAAACTGTGTACGCTCTCTACCCAGATGACAACACTAAACCAGGAAGTATCTGAGCTCACCACGGGCCTGCACCACCTGATGGATGCCTCATACCCGTATGGCGTCGAAATGCCGGTGGCTCCTGGGAGCCGTGATGGCCACATCCACCAAATTGTCCCACCTGCTGGCCACTGGAGCCACAGTGGAGCTGCTGAAACCCAAACAGAGACCCACCTAAGGCCTGATGGTGATGAATCCTCTTGCCTTTTGTCCTGTTCCCCTAGAAGCACATCCACACACAGCCGGCTGGACTCGTCTTCCAGTTCGTACAGCTCCATCTTAGAAATGGAGGACGCACAGCTCTTCCTCCACCCTGCGTCTGCCTCTCCATCCATGTTGCCAGACCATCCTCTTGGATCCTCCCTGGATTCAGGATGATCGTGATCAGATGCTCTCGAGCCCCACCTTCCACTCTGTGACCCATCTGCCATAGGACACACCAGTCTGGAGTGCCTCCATGGAAACCTGTTGATTGTGTACACAGATATGTTTTAATTTACTGAAGGACAAATGACACATGCTTCACCGTGCATACAAGGAATAGAATAGATGTAAAGTATTTTATTGTTCTGCATTTTTTATTTAGAATCCCACTGAACATCTCTAGTTGTATTTTGTCCTAAAGATCCTTCGGGAGAGTTGAATGTTTCCTATGTTTTCCTCACCATTAAAGATTACGCTGTGAAATACTGTAGGTTTAATTTCTCTCTCCACAAAAACACTTTCTCAAGGATCTACAATGCTATAAACACGACAAGTTAAACAGAAATGAGTGTATTCAGCTGGAAAGTGGGCCCCATGAAATATTTACTGCTTTCATTTATTTACAAAAGATTGTATGAATGACTGCTTAGTTGCAATGACGCTTCTCTTGTTAGTCAGAAATCAATACTCACTGACTAACTCGGATATAAGCTCATGTAGTGAACAACGGTGTGGATTTGTGCATTTTATATTGAATAAATTTGGAGCTACTCTAAATTCCTTTCTCCTCCCCAGAGAAGAAGGGGAGGGGTCAAAGTTGCTTTCTCTAAGTGCTAGCCCGACCATAAAACTGGCACCTTTTTGATTCCGAAGCTGATAACGCGGGGCCTGACTGTTAAACTGACAAAGGGACACGAACCAGCCATTGGCATCTCCCTGAACAGCCTATCAAAACTGGCCCCCCACACATGTTTCTGTGGCAACTGACCTTATTCTTTGTTTTATTACCACATCAAAAAGGAAAACCCCTGTCTCACCCAAGTGTGACATGGTCCAGACACTGAACTTTGGATGGCCAAAGACTGCAGTCTCCAAAGACTTAAAGCATTTAATTAAGTTTAATTAAATCTTTAGTTACCTGATTACGTTTGCCTCTATTTGAGTAGTTATGTTAACTGTTGTTGCTATCTGTTGTTGATATTAGTGCTGAAAAGAAAGTTACTTGTGCAGTGTTTTTATTTTCAGCAAGACACTCCTTCATCTGATGTAATCAATGCTTGTTCATAATACTTTCCTACAAAATTCCTTTAGAAATGATGACAAAGGAAGGTTTTACTATACTCTTAATCGCCAGCTTGAATTTAAGGATGAATCAACAATATTCCCAGTTCCTAAGGAGATATGATCTTTGATTTAATCTAAGCTTTCCTCATGTAACCTGAGCTCCCCCAGGTGGACGAAATAAGTATTACATGCCCTCATCGGAAATGCCGTTAAATGTATAAATATCCTGACCAATAATGTGACAATTGTTTCTTGTTACCAAATGCTTAGAACAGTACAACCGTTCAAGCATTGAGGTTCGATTGTGGAAAATATTTGCTTATAAGATGTGCAAATAGATTTCTTTTTAGACATTAAGTTTAGAAAGGCAGTCCCGTGGGAAACCTGAGACGCCCCCCGGGGAACCACGCCCCAGGCAACAAAAGAGCGACACGCGACCTCGCTTCGCTCTCTTCTCTTCGCTGTTGGCTCTTCCACTCTGCTCGGCTCTCTGGACGCTTCGGCACGCGTGTGGCGTGCCTCGCCAGGCAACGCCCAGACTCGGCCAGCGAGACAGGCCTTTGTTCACCTGAAGCTACACACCTGAAGTGCCGCGACATCGATCTGCCTTCAGTTTGTTTTATTTTCTTTATTTCTTTTGTTTGTTAAAGTTATCAGTTCGTTAAGTTACACTGGACTAATTCAGGAACGACCAAGTTCCATTTTAAGCCTTTTTCGTCGAGCCAACTTCACCGAGGTCAGACCAAGCCACGTGGTCTCGCCAGCTGCAACAAAGGAAACCTGAAAACAGCCGAATTGCCAGACGGAGGAAGCGTTTTCAATCAGACACGGAGAACACCGGAGAATCCCTAGCAAAAAGCCAGGATCGGCAGCTAGCGTGGGACCCGTGCAACAGGCCAAAAGCAGGCTGTCGACAAGCAGTAAGACTTAACACACGTTCTGTGATCAGATGTCCATTTTAACTCCTAAACTATAGCATTAGTTTACTTTCATTAGCTCTTCTATGCCGTATGAGTCAAATGCTTCCCACAATCGAACCTCCAGGCTCATTGTTCAGCAAATGTTTGTTCCCTGTATCCAACCATCTTTTTATCACCAGAGAATAAATTCACTGTAATATAATCAAGAGCTGTGTGTGTTGCCTATTTCTAGTTCCTGCCAAGAGAATTGACCCTTTAGATATGAGACTGACTGACTGATTTAAGATAATTGAGCGATTATTAACTAACTGATCACTAGTAATAATTGTATAATTATTCAAAACTACCTAGAGGTCCGGAGACTCTAGGATTATAACAACTCCGGTGGTGCCCTGAAAGGAGGAATAAATTTTGATTTTATTAATCTTAAAAATTCATAATTGGGTATCAATTCTCATAAATTTATTAAATTGCATGACAAAAATTTAGGTCTGCTACACTCAGCAACAAACACAGATACTCAGATATTTGTATGAAAGCCTCTGAAAACCTGGACAGGAGTTACCAACCTATTTCTTTGCATTCATCGAGGTTCATTTGTGTTTGACAGGTTGTTCATGTTTCTGCAGTGAATGGGGTCTGTCAGCTCCTGCACTTCACCACAGGTTGGTTACACCTGTCTTTAAACTGTAGATCTGAAGGGGATGGAACAAGGAAATATAAGTTATGGACACAGAGGAGAGGGAATGCAAAGTAACTAAGTACATTTGTACAAGTACTGTTCTTAAGTACAAATTCAAGGTACTTCACTTGATTATTTCCATTTTATGCAACTTTACTTCTACTCCACCACATCTCAGAGGCAAATCTACTGTACTTTTACTCCACTACATTTTTGATACAATTTCCCAATATGTTACAAAGGAGTTATTTGAAAAAAGAAATAGATCAATTTTATGCAAGGTATTGAATGAAGTACTCTATTGGTATCAGTATCACTTTAGGGTACTGGTTTTGGTGCAAATAAATTTTTAAGATACTCAATCAATAAATGCTTTAAATTCTCTTTCACTGCACAACGGTGCAAGAGTACAGCTGGGGTTTTATATTGCTAATCTGAGGAGAATGAAATAGAACTCTTGTGTCGTGACAGTTTGTTTACACACAAGAATCTGATTCTCAAAATTTAATGTGTGAAATATTGTACCTTGCTCCTAATTTCCATTCTTTGTTTCCTCAACAGCTTTTAAGTTCAAGATCCATATCTCATATGCATTGCATGTTTGATATCAACCTTCTTTTACATTTCTTTTTGAATTAAACTACCTTCTTTCCTGGGCTCATTTTGTCTTTGTGGTGTTAGTGAAATGGCTCTAGCTGTCCCTGGGATAGCCAGTGCGAGCTGATATAGCAGGAGGTTTTTAGGTTTTATTGTATCTTCACACTGCCTCTTGAATGAAAACACTTTCCCATCCTGTCTGTAAAAGGAATGATGGGTCCAGTTTTCTGTACAATAGCTCCCTATTTCTTTTATAGATGTGACAATAGCAAACCTGGATGAGTACAGGAGCAATCTACTGGTTGGCATAATTTTGTAACGTTGCTCATCATATTAAGATTGACAGGTGAAGTTTCCTAACAATATAATGGAACGGAAGTTTGTGATTTCAGATATGTTATGTAAAAGATAAAAAAAACTTTTAAGGGACAATGTCAGAAAATGTAAATTCTAATATAAAAAGGTATGGATGACAGTGAAGACTACGTCTAAAGTACTGACATGTTGGTTTTATTAATCAGCGTCAGCTTTACTGCCAAATAGAGCTGTATGTGTGAGAAAATCTTACACATTCAGGGAATTTGCTCTGATGACTTTCAGCATAACAAACAAACTTATATAATATATATAAGTATATATTACATGAGATTTATAAGGGGAAACAATTTACATTTTAAGGTGAATAACAAAGCAGCGTGAATTTATCCTCTAGCTGTTTTTGCAGTTTGAAGGACCATTTGATTGTAAAATTTCCAGATCCAAGATGTGACGACAGGCAAGTCCAATGAAGCTACACATGTGAGGCTTAAGACGTCAATCTATTTTTATTTTAGCTTTGTTGACAGTAAAATGTCCAGTAAAAGCCCGTAAACTACATGCGTTGGCGCAGGTTTACTCATTGACTTAATAATCATAGTTATTATAACAAAGTTTTTAACCTGCAGTTAACTTGCTTCGGCGCGTTATTTATTTTCAGCAGTCCGGCAGTTTTCCAAGCACTCCATTGGATGATAAGTACATATACATCATGTATATCGGACACCAAATATAGAAACCTGCTCAAATTGCCGGAAAAAGTAAGTTGGATAAAATTACTGATAAACAAAAAGTATGCCAGAGTGGCAACACATTTAGTTTCATTTGTTGAAAACTGTAGAAGTTGTTGGCAAAAGAACTAGGTCCTCCCTCGACTGGGATCGTCTAAATACACGAAAACTGCCGTTGGCCCACCACCTATATGGCTTCCAGGGAGGAAATCTAAAAAAAACACAACCTTTTTTAAAGTACAAAAAATATCCAATAAAAAATAAATTATCAGATGGGATAAATCCAATGTTAATTCGATTTTTTTCTTACCAAGACTGTGGTAACCTAAACCTAAGGC